GTGGCACATGCCTTTAATCCCAGCACTTGGAAGGCAGAGGCAGGCCAATCTCTGTGAGACTGAGGCCAGGCTGGTTTACATAGCAAGTTGCAGGCCAGCTGTGGCTACAGGGAGACTCTGTCTCAAAAAGACCAAAAAGCATAAATAAAGACTACAGGTATTCTGACTTAAGAGTTAGCAACATAGAAATTTGGATCTCGTTAACTAGGTAAATTTCTTAAGGTAAGTCAATTCCCTGAGCCCTGGGCATCCCAGCTCTAGGTAGGAATAACACCTGTGGAACAGGCTGGTTATGAGGAAGGACTAGAAACCCGGCCATAGACTGGAACCTGGGTTTTCAATAAATCGTGGTTTGTTTCTACTATTAGCTATTTACCTTTATATTTCAAGGTGGTATTATTTTGCTTTTCATAATCTCTACACTTGCATTATACAATCAAGTATCAGTGTTTGAAAAGGACAACTTACCCACAAAGAGTTGACTGTTGAGCTGTAAAAGGACATGGCCGTCAGTGGGAGCAGCTTGTATCTTTGGTGCGAGCTCATCCACCTGAATGGATGCCTCTTTCATGTTCCTTTCAACTCTCACATGATGCCACTGGTTGTCGTTGAAGTGGGTGGGTGACTGTACTGAGATCTCGAAAGGTCCATTCCCCACATCAAATGAAAAGGTCACCGTTGTGGGAGCTGGAAATATCAGATGTGAAAAACTTCAGGCAAGTTCACACAGCATGGAACTGAGTATTCAATACACTTAAGACTAACACGGCAATCGATAAATATAATATTTGAATTTTATGTAAATAATGGCACCTATTTGGAAACAGGTTTTCTGATGTGGGATGGTGCAGTAAGATGCATTTTTTTGTAAAAACAATACATTAAAAATTCATCTTATAACTTAAATTTTCATATTGATAAAGATTAAAGTTATAGGGGCTGTAGAGATGTCTCAGAGTTTAAGAGCACTGGCTGCTCTTTCAGAGGGCATAGGTTCGATTCCCAGCACCCACATGGCAGATAACAACTGACCTTAACTCCAGTTCCGGGGGAATCTGATGCTTCCTTCTGACTTTCGTGGGCACTACATGACATGGGTGCACTTACATAGATGCAGGAAATACACTCATACATATAAAAATAATAAGTAAAATATTTTTAAAAGATCTAAGTTATTTAGAAAGTACACAAAACTAGCCTCTGTCATTCTTTACCTGAAATAATTATTTCAGTGACTCAGAGTTTATGTAATTTCACAGCATGAAGCATGCATTGATGTTATGTTAATAGCAACCTATGGATATAGCAAAATGAGTGGTTCACTAAGTAAATTTGTAATCAATATCGTAATTTGCTGAAAATTTGTTTTAATCTTTACTTCCTTTTAAACTGTTGTGCAACTGCTATTAGACAATATCAGTAATTTTCCCAAAGTATCACTTGTTAAACTTCAAGTTATTTTCTTACCTAAAAAGGATAAGTTAATATAGCAGAATTTTTTCAAAGGGATACAATAAAAATATTTAGCTTTCATAGTAGAAACATGAATCTCTTAATGTTAACTAAAGGAGTCACTACAGAGTGACAATGTCCCGTAAACTCTGAGGACACTTACAGCGTAGTTCTATCCGTATAAAATCGGTAATTCCAAGGTTCTCTAAAAATACCCCAGAGAGAGCAGTTGTCTTAAAAAAGAATGAGACATCAGCACTAAGTTCTCCATGGAAAGTGGGGAAGTGAAGGTAGGAAGCCTCAGTGTTAAAAGCAGCAGCATTCCAAAACGACCCTGTTTTGATGAAGACAGGAAAGAACAAATTCAAAAAGAAAATAAACTCATGACGTACAACCGATGTTACAACAAAAATAATATAATTGTGTTTTCTACATTAGCATCTTTACTGTTTCAAACACTGACTAGTCATACAAAATGCTTGCTTTTTTATATTAACTCACTATGCAGTGTACCAGGCTTGGACATATGATGAGAAATTTCAGAGATTGAAATCCTGGATTCTTACCAATTTACGGCAGGAAGGGCCTAAGTATGTGAAAGCAGGTAGTAAGCCAAATCCAATCCTCAGCCAAAGTAATATTTGAAGAATCTGCCAAATCCTGATTAATTGCTTAAATGTTTTATTTTTTTTTTTACTTGAAAGTTTAAATACCTGCTTTGTTTGACTAACAAAATCCCTGTAGATATTCATGGTTTGGTTGCAATGTACACACGTCACAGAATTACAGTCTTAACTGTTTCTTGTGATTCTTCTTAAACTGAAATTTGCATTCTAAAAATTGCCACATAATCAAAGACCAAAGAGTACTTTGGGCTGCACAGATATTCTTATAAAAATGCTCTTTTCATTCAAAAAGCATCCCGACTTTAGTCATCAAAAAGAAGTAGATGTAGATAAAAAGGCTTCTCAACACTGACAAATATTCAAAATAGATGGGACATGTTGAAGAGTTTGGGATATCAATTTAAACATCTCATAAACAGTATGTAGGGGCTGGAGAAATGACTCAGTAGTGGTTGAGAGCACTTACTGCTTTTGCAGAGGACCTGGGTTCAGTTCCCAGCGCCCAAGTGAGCCAGATCACAATCACCTATAACTCCAGCTCCAAGCATTGTATGCATGTACACAAAACCATACACATGTGTGTTATTAAAAATAAAAATAAATGTAAAATTATGTAGTATAACTCACTTTACAAAGTTAATTATAATTTTTGCCCAAATGCAGATTTTTATTTTTGACTTCGCTTTCTTTGGCGGAGCTCTGTAACTTTGATTTGGAAAAACCTATATTGTGGGTGATCTATAGGAAGAAATATGAGAAATGAAACATAAATTCAAAGGCAGAGCTGATATGATGAAATCTAGCTGAATATATGGAGTTGACATGAAGAATTATCAGAGAAATGAGGGATGTGTCACATCTGCCACCAGCAAGTTCTTAGCACACTGACTAGCAATATGTGTCGTTTGCTTCCACAGGCCCTCCCATCACTGATTAACCGCCCCCCCCATATTGAAATTATCTTCCTACAAGAAAGATATATTGATCTGCTGGAGCCAGAAACAACTGTTTCAAAACAATGGTTCTTGATGTTAGCAGAGAACAAATAGATACCCAGCTAGTTAAAAATCACCAATATGACTGTTTCTGTATCTTCCTTAGATTTTAATTCTTTTCTGTAAATGCAGAACCAAACAGTATGTATATTTTTCCCCTGTTTTTCCTATGGGCCTTATTCAAAAGTCCAATTTCTATTATGTGTGGACAATTTAAACTGAAATTATTCATTTAAAAAATACTTCCTGGTTGCAACCCCACCCCAAGTGAAACTACTATGTCTGATTTCAAGTAAAACTACACTGTCTGCCAAGCCTGTTCCTCATACCCTTCCATAGCTATTTCTGTACTTAGACACTTTGATCTTAGTCTAGGGAAGGATGCGCAAAAAAAATTGTAAAATGTCAAGTCAGGGATAACAACACATCTGTGCTCTTCAAGAATTCTTACCTGATCTATTTTCAGAAGGAACTACATGTCTTTCTCTTGAAATGTTACATGTAAAATTAAAATAAAGCTGTAACTTTAAATTATGGAATATTACTAAACATGATTCCATGTGCTTAGAAGGAAAACATTCAGAGACACACGTTTAAATTATGTAATATTGTTAGAAAACATTTCATTTGTTGCACGCTGTATTATAACTAACTCAA